GGCCGACACCGACGGGGTAAAAGCACTTGACTTGTAATCTGCAGTACCTGGGTTCCGATTTACCCATATACATTTATCTGACGTTCTTACGGTGAAGGAAAACATCGTGGTGAAACCTGCACATATCTGCTAGGATATTCAAAGATATGTTTGAAGTCAACCAACCAGCATTGGGCCAGCGCGGTTGACTATGGCCTTATTACTCTTAACTTAAGGTAGGCTCCGAGCCCCTCAGCTGGGTCGTATAATGAGCTGATGATATTGATTATATTTCTAGTCATACTATAATCCTTTTTTTTCTGTTTTTTTCACTTTTTTATGTCGTGTAGGTAACTGAGTGGAACATACGTCATCACATGCTCGAGTTACAGAGGACCTTCCAATTTGTTTGGGTCAAAACATTACAGTACCCAAGGGGTACGTATGAGAGGATAGAAAAAGTATTCCGTAGTAACGTATATGTTTTTTTGTGATGTAAATCTCTAATCAGCTTAACTTTGTTCGCATAACAACGATATATCAATATTAGCAATCAGAAAATTATACGTAGTTTACTAGATAAAAGCGTAGGTCGAAATATATAGAATATAAAAGGAGTATTATGTACTATATGTTTGTTTGTCCTTAATTATTAGTACTTTAAATGTATTGTCAGATGTTAGAAACACAATATGCGAAGCCGTGTGAGATAGTTAGTATTTTGCTCACTTAATTTTGTTACATGTCATCATTTTTAACGAAAATCAAGCCGCTATAACCAATCGACCAAAAACAACCTTTTGAAGTTCGCTCCACTTTGAAAACCCTAAGCTAAACTTTTTTTACCCGTACATTAAAGTTGCCGGGCAAGGCTTTGTAAAGCCGACATTTCACGGTACTAACGTGTGAAAGGGGCATTACGTCGTTATGCGTGACATTACGTGACGTCATAACGCAGCTCGTTCACTTTTATGTGATGAGAGTGAATTTAATCTAATGGTGGTCATCTTTACCTGTTTTAGGGAAGCTTACGAAACTTCTAAGACAACGAAAACATCAAAAGATCATAAACATTCGTATGGTATGTACAGTCAGGGTAGTTGTCGGTACTCCACTTTATGCCCTGTTAACAATCACTATATGTTTTGATAGCAGCGTATTTTATCTTATACAATAATCAAGCGTACAGTACAAGTAAAACAGATTCATAAATTCATTTTTTCAGAACATCTATGGTACACTGTTTGTTTATTTTCACAAAGGGGCTTATAGAAATTTTTCTGTTTTTTTTAATACCGCAAATGGAAGGGACTGTACCTACATGATAATTTTATATCGTATCTTATTTGTAATCTCGTCTGGGTATGTTAACACATTATAGAAAATAAACTTACAAAAATATTTTTACTTATATTTAGATATAGCTAACGCCCGCGACTCTGTCCGCGCTGAATTAAAAAAAAGACTTAATCAGTAACCTATGTGTACTTCTAGACTATTTTCTACGTTTGAATTTCAAGAATCGAATTTCAAGATCCGTGGGGCGTTGCGGAGATACCTTCAAACAAACATCCATCCATCTAAACATTCGTATTTATAATATTAGTAAGATAAAAAGTAATAGTAAGTAAAGAAAAAAATTAGCAGACATTTAATATTACATTATTAAGTTAGTAGTGGTAATTCTAAGTGCCCTTGGACCTCAAAATCAATTTATTAATGACCTCGTAAGTAACAACTTAATGGAGCCAGAGGCGGTTCGTAATAAGCAGCTTTTAACATACGCTATAATTTAGACAGGTAATTGACTTTATATTTATCTAAGTGATATTTGAGAGTCATGTTTTAATGCCAATTGATTTAATAATACAATTGGCTTTTCGTACTAATGGGCATGGAAAAAATAACTTTATATTTACCATAGAAAATCAGATTTGAGGAAAAGTCTTAAATAAACAATATTTAATTTTAAATAGTAAATCTGACTGTCGCGAAGTGACTTTATGTTACTTCAAAATACGAATATTTATTTTCTATACTTACTTTATAACAATTACTAAATGTTATTTATTCCTAATAATTTTGTCTTGAAAGACAAATTACTGGTATTTGAAGGTTAAATGCCGAAATTTATTATAGTTTTAAAAATAACGTAATCTATAAGGAGATAGACGAGGACGAGTCGACAATGGCCGGACGGACAGAGGCAATTTGTCCAATTCGGTTCAGGTGAGCGGAAAGCGCATTGCACGCGATACCTCAAGGATTTTATCATATACTACATGAATACAAGGAATACCTACATGAGTTACCAAAACCTTTATTATGTTCAGAAATCTTAAACTTACAGGACTCTATAAGATCTTTGAAAATTCCCTAAAAAGATGATGTCGTTAGTGACCTAGCATGGTTCTCCAATAACGCCATTTTTCTTGGGTATACAGAGGAAGACCAAAGGATGTATGGATCAAATGTTTTTTTAATAGCGAAGTGACCGTTGCCCATAGACATACGCAATTGCATATGCGTTGCCTACCTTTAATTGCCGGAGGAGAGAATGCACAGAAAGAAAATAGCTTCCCTTTCCATGCATCCTCTCATCCGGAAAGTCCACTTCCACTTCCCATCCTTTCCTTATAAAGAAAAGGATGGGAAGGGAAAGAGGACTAAATGAGACCTCCGGGACGCACACTCATCAGACTGTACGCGGAATAGCTTCCACTTGACGCCTGTATTCTGTGTGGTCGTGGTATTTCAGCGGGCGAGCCGGGACAATTCGTGCGAAGATGTTAAAGCGGGCTCTACCACTGTTTCGAATAGTGGTATATTTGCTTGACCTCCGTACAGAAAAGGACAAAGAGATGATGACGTAGATTCTTGACTGATTGTGTGTCATGTTTCTTGCCTTATTGCTGATGTTATTTTCTAATGTTATCTGTTTTAATTGTTACAGAACAGTACACCGATGTGGGAAGAATTCATATCGAAGGCTACTAAACTTCATTCGGCTTTGAAGTAAGTATATTCATATCTCTTTTGAAAGTGAATGCATTTTGTCTAACCTCGCAAATGAATCAATTACGCGTTCTACTTATTGCTACTTGAAACAATACCGGCCTTACTAAAAGAAATGTATCAGATATTAGCTTAAATACACGACAACCTTTTATATTGTGACTCTATAAGTCTCGCTGCGGATTTTTGACAAAACATGGCTATTGAAACATTATTATGCGTAAGCTTGCGAAATGAGTTCTTGGCCAATAAATAATGAATTTATACAGAATGTACTGTGTTAATACCTTAGACGTTGATAATATCCTTCAACAACGTTAAAAGGATTAAATTTTTTGAAGTACTACAGTACTTTTTTAAAATCGAAATTTCAAAAATTATGCTAAAAATTAGGCCATCGTTGACTTAAAGAATGAAATATGAAAAATGCTAGACCAAACAAAGAGGACTTGCATTTCTACAACAATAGGGCAGGGACTACAATAAGCCGCTATGAAAGTAATTAAGGCCTTTTATACGGATTCGAGAGCGAAAAGGCTATGAAGTCCTGAAATATCGTGATGCCTTACTCTAGTACAATAGTTGGGAATGCAATTATGGATAAAGTTTCTTCTACATTTAGAGGAAAGATTTGTATGTCTGTAACAAATAAATTTAAAAAAGTGCTGTACCATATCATATTATCAAATATATGGTATTTTGTTCTTCTTCTTCTTTTTCTTGAGGTGCCTCTCCGACTAATGAAGGTTGGTGTTCAGTTCTCCATATTTTCTTTGGAAGTCGAAACAGTTGGGCAAATTCTATTATAATGTTGTAAATTGTCCAAAAGTTTTCTGTAAGGTTTTCACCGCTTTTGCATTATTTCGAATCAAAATTCATATAAACGCTATTGTAGTCTTTATATCTGTATCTTGTACAATTTCTTTGTGATTATAAAACGTTTTACAATGTAACTCACTGTATGAATGTCCTCTTTACACGTCCCCATGTGTCCAGTTGAATGTCACAATAGCTTTCGTTTAGCGACAATTGAACGATTGGCGAGTGTTATATTGAAGGGCGCGTGCTATATACGTGTATAGTTTCGGATCTCAATTACTAAGAAGAAAATGAGCTGCTTTTTTAATTCCCATAATTCAGAAGACTTATTTTGATTCCACTCGAGACGCGTAATGTATTTCTCTTGTGTGCTTTCCTAAAATATTATACTGTGTTATAATAAAGGTAAATTTTAACAAGTAAATATAATTCTGCAGGTCAGCGTTGGTGGCTATTGCGGCGTTCCTGGACGCCTTCCAGAAAATAGCGGACGCAGCTACGAATGCAAGAGGTAAGTGATGTTGATTCATTGTTAGCAAAACTTGTATGAAGAGGAATTGCTGTAAGAATTTGTGCAGGCGCTTAGTCGTTACTATTCACGTGTCTCCAAATATATCCTCAATTGTATTTTAACTATGACATTTTAATAATAATAAATATCTTAAAGTTTAAACATTTAGTGTTTTATATCTATAACCTTTGAGTTTACTAGCTACAATATTTTTAACCGTGCGCAAGCTACTTATAATTCAACTCAACGCCTCAGAGGTATTGTAATAGATTTTTATATCTAATGACGTAGGAATATATAAAAACTTGTTTTCGTTTAATATAATCTTTTGTTTTTCATCCTCAATATATTATGGAAACTAAACTACTATAGATGTGTAAAATAATGAGATAATATAAATAAATCATAGCATATTCTATTTTTTTTTATATCTTAAAAAATCCATAAATACATTTATATTCTAAACTTAGTATACTTTACTTAATTCGTATACATTTTAAAATAAATGAGTATTTCTTTTATTTTCAACTAAATTACCATAGAGAGATTGTTACTTACATTTTTATCTTTTTAAAAATAGCAGGTAACTAATTAGTTGATTTTGAATCACTGAAATCTGCTCCCAGCAGAACAGAATTTGATAGTTTCATAATTACTGTTTTAATTTTCTTAGCTATTTAACAATTTTCAGACAGTATCTTGATATACGATATTCTATACAAATTGTACAATTGTGGACTATAAAACTCAGTGCAGTTCTTAATTCTTAAACCATCACGCTATCAATCCAATCAAGGTATTCGTAGACGTATGTGTAAACAGTTGGTTCACGTATGTTGCTGCAACTATCAGGTCCGTAACTAGCAACACCTACAACCATGTAGTAATTTTCTGATACAAACATTAATGGTCCACCGGAATCGGTTACACAGTCGGATCTCTCGTTTTTACCTCCGGCACATAATTGTTTGTTTGTCAATGATGGTATGGATATAGATCGTTTGCATGTAGGTATTGGCATATAAGGTAATTTAGCCTCCATTTTAATATCGTTGTTAATAGAACCGTGTACTCCCCAACCGGCGGTTATGAAGTTTGTGTTGGTGTCGAATTGATCCGCGAAGTTGTAGCGAGGTAGGCAAATTGGACGGATGAAATCTGTGAACGAAAATTTATTGTATCATAAAGTGGCAAACATGCAGAAAAATGTAGAGTGGCAATGCAATCGCTACCAATGGACATCCGCAATTGGAAATGCGTTGGTTACCTTTAATCGATGGAGGAGGCGACATACAGAAAGAGAATAAACCTACGCATCCCCTCTTCTATCAAATCCCTTCCCATCTTTTCTATGAGAAAAGAGTGGGAGGAGAAAAAGTGTGTAATAGCATTCATCATACCTGAACTTTTAGCATCTTCAGCAAGCTTCACCAAGCCTATGTCGTGGTGATACGTGTTCTTATCAAACATTGGATGCTTCTCACTCCATTTAACGGCTATCAGAGAGACGGTGATGGTTTCTGTAGCTCCACCATCAACCTCTACGTAGTCCGTGGGGAATGACGTCATGTTGTATTCAGCGAGACGAGCGAAAGCACTGCAATTAGATTTGAAATTAGACAATTTATAACAAATCGTTCTAACTGATTTTAAGCGTAATCTACACTAGACTTTGGAAAAATCAAATGACTTTGAGGATGTGTCTTAGGTCTTAATCTTTAATAGCTAATAACGACTTGTTAAAGGTATATTACTTACGGTTTTCCATGCGTAGTCTCGATACAATGAGCAGCTGTCAGGATGAAGTTAGGAGAGATAAGGCTTCCTCCACACATGATGCGACCGAAACGATACTCCAAAAGTGCCATCCACGGATACTCATCGATATCTGCTGTACCGTAATCTGGAAGGGAGACGAAAATAGAACGTTGTGTTAATATGCTTCGTACAGGGAAGGGTTTTACATTTGTAGAAGTAGAACATATTTATTAGTTGCGAAAAAGTGATAAATAAGAAAGAAGTGACTACTAAAACGATTTGACTTTAAGATTGTGTATTTGACTCTACAGTTATTTCTTCTGCAGTTTTGTCTTATTCTAAAACATTGAATTACTTTTCTGAGTGTACCAGTTTACCTCTATCCTGCTTAGGCCCAGATACTTCTACACCGCATTCTTCTGTTTCTTTATTGCTGCCATCTCGTAGCACGGTCGTGGATTTTGTGTCGTCACTAGACTTTTGACTTGTTCCGTTACTTCCTTGTTCGGCTAAATAATTAATTATTTCGGGGAATGGTATAGGTTTGAGATCCAATTTTTTGGACCATTCCGACTGCGGCGGACAACAAACCTGTAATTAATAATAATAATAAGAATTAGTATAAAAAACAAACACTTTTATTAATTGTTCATACTTTTTTTATTAAAATTGAGAAAAGAACACGTGAAAATAAATATTTGATGTGGATTCTTGTTGGTTTGCTCGAGCACCTAATACTATTAGTATCTTTATTATTTTAAAGAGAATGAGAGGAACGGCTATATCTTACTAATCTTACTTTAATATTATAAATGCGAATGTTTAGATGTATGGATGTTTGTTTGAAGGTATCTTCGGAACGGCTGAACGGTTCTCGATGAAATTTGGCATACATAGGGAACATAGTCTGGAAGAACACACAGGCTACTAGTTTTTGTTTTTTATTTCGCGCGGACGGAGTCGCGGGTGACAGCTAGTAATTTTAAAGCAAGTTTATGTTGCGTCATGCGGGGAAATCTGTCTCGGTCATCTGTTTGATCATCTCTTTGTATTTGTTTTTCCTCCGCGCTGGGTTTTGCCCGCTCGTATAATCCCACAAGATGCTTTTATATGCCACCGCTTTTGTTTTAACGTATTTTTTGGATTATTTTATTAGAAATTGAACTTAGAATTATATTCGTCTTTTTTTCTACAAGTTCAGTAATACATATCAACACTCTCTTAATATCGCTACAAATTTAGTTTGATAACCTTTTTTTATCAATCGAAGGATACTTTGTATTTAGCTGTCGCTTGCGACGGACTAAAGCGAACTTAATTAGGCTATGTGTCCTTCCTGACTGTGTTCTATATCTATGCTAAATCACAACGAGATCTTTGAAGCCATTGAACATACGCATTTTTAATAGTAGTAGCATTGTCCTCTAAGGTAAATTTCTATTATATAAAGGTCATCATCTATTTACCTTGACGGTTACCTTATGTAATTAGTATTTTTGACCTGTTTTTTTTAAATTATTATTGTTCATTAAATATATAAATAAAATGTTACCTTATATAAATAATTGCTCGTAGTCCCACAGGATGATTCTCGTAGATAAAGCAATTCGTTGTCTGTCTTCACTTTCTTTTCACTGACTTCTTTCAATGGTTTGCACTTGTCCAGATATTTACATTCCCCTGTATATCCGTTTGGCATTCTGCATTGTGGATCTGAAATGTTAGATAATTTGATATTTATTGTTATAAAAACATTTAAGTCCAATGCTTGTGTTAGTATAAGGTTCAGGTTAATTGTAGATTGTTGTGCCTTGACCCTTATGTTCATTTTGTATAGTATACCATACTTTATAAAAATATACGATCACTATAAAACAATTTTTAACTTGTTTTTTTTTTCTTTGTTTTTTTTTTTTGCTTTTCTTTAAAAAAGAAATCTTGCCACAATAAGAGTTAAACTTTTAGTTTATTGGGTATATTTTTTATGTGTGTTTCAAAATTATATTATTCTTTTCATTGTAATAAAAAAGACTGATCAATTAGTACTGTTTTATAATCTTTTTCATTACTTTAAAATTAATAAATATCCTATGTCTTGTGTGTTTGTGATCTCATGTAAGAATCATAATAAGCTAAAATTCTATTGATTCAAAGGTAAAGTAAGAAGTATATTGAAAAGGTCAATTATTTTATTTAAGGTTAATAGGATTAATGAAAATGTGTACAAAATAAATGAAATCGTGTTTCAAGTTTTATTTCTAAAGCCCTAATTATTTTATGTTTATATAATAACGGTCGTATAAAATTACGAGTGTCCAGAGTTCTTTGACCTTTACCGGTTTGATAAATTTGCATTTCAGATGCATATTATCTGTATATATAAAAAAGTCGTGTTAGTTACACTATTTATAACTCAAGATCGGCGTTACCCATATGCCTGAAAATTAGTGAGGAGGTAGCTGAGAGCCAGGAGACGGACATAGGATACTATTTATTCATTTTTTTTCGAATTTATACCTTCAAGAGCTGCTTTTTATTTAACTTACTAATATTATAAATGCGAATGTTTAGATGGATGTGATGTGGATGGATGGATGGGTGTTTGAAGTTATGTCTAGAACGGCTGAATGGATCTCGATTAAATTTGGCATACGTATAAAACATAGTCAGAAAGAACACATAGGCTACTTAAGTTTTTTTATATATCCACGCGGACGGAGTCGCGGGCGACTGCTAGTATTTGATAAAAATGCGTACAAGATATAAATGTAATTATATAGAGTTAAAAGCCGCTATCTTGATGACATACAGGGCACGGACTGTAAACAATATCGTAGTGGGTTCAAATTTATGTTCACCTCTAATTGCAAACAATCTCCTAGTGCAAACTTAACCTTACTTTAATACTAATGTTTGCTACATTTAAAAGCGAATATTTTCGTAATATTAGACCATAATAAACTGATAAAAGACATCGATACCTATAACAATGCATATTCACATTAATCATCATCAGCTAACTATACGTCCCCACCGAGGGGCTCGGAGCCTACCCTAAGTTAAGGGTGATTAGGCCATAGTCAACCACGCTGGCCAAGTGAGGGCTGGTGGACATCACACATATCTTTGAATTTCTTCTCAGATATGTGCAGGTTGCATCACGATGTTTTCCTTCACCGTAAGAACGTCGTAACGAACGTATTCGAACCCAGGACTTACAGATTGCAAGTCAAGGGCTTGACTCCTGAGCCACCGACGCTCCATTCAAAGTAATTTAAGATTTTATTTTTATGAAAATAATATTAATACTCACATGAATAAATATATCCAACTGATAACAATATTATAATACTCGATATAATATTTGTTATCATTATGCTTATTTTCGACTGATATTTATCTTTTTCGACCAAACGTCCTCTCTGGACGCTCCACGAGTCAATACTGACTTGACTCGCAAGTTTACTACAAGAAGAAATTTGCGTAATAACATGTTTTGATAATATTCAGATGTGAGATGTTTTATTCTTTTAAATAAAAATTAATGTTTGTTAGTTTGTAATTTTTTTTAAATTATATTGGTAATTAGCTGTCGCTCTCGACTAAGCCCCTTGCGGAATTAAAAACATCTATTTAGTAGCCTATGTGTTCTTCCAGACTATGTTCTACATTTATTACTATACAATTGTTCAAATAATCTATTAAAAGATTAAATTATTCAAACTTTCGTGAGACATTATACTAAACTGATATATAAACACGGCTAAACACTCACGTATATTCGTCCGGTGGCGGCACCGACTAGTTTCGAGCCCATCGGGGGCCCTTCATCAGGATGAGTGGTACTGGTATTATTTTGCGGACGCGGCCCGTCGCTCACACGGGCGTTTTATATATCAGTTTATTAAAAGATGGTTGGAAAACTTTTTTTTTTAATGTTTTTATTCAAAATTGTTTTGTTTCTGTCAGTTTTTATAATGTAAAATAATTTGAAAACAAAATGACTAATATCGACAATAGGTCAATGTAAGAAAATAATTAGGAATTAATTTGATAGTATTTTCCTGTTTATGCAATACGTAGGACAGGGTAAAGATTACGACAAATGTTTATGACTTAATTTGTGATGTTATGAAGACGTATAATAACGAGAGAGGAAATTATTTGATCGTTTTAAAAAAATACAATCTGAGAATATCCTCCCTTTGTAACCAGACCTGATACCAAAATCTTTGTATAAAACATATCGACATTCCTGTTATTTTTCTTGACAAAATTATACATAAATAAGTTATTAAGTACAAGTCGTCTTTTTTATTATATTAATATGAATAAAATTAATGTGTGTACGTTTGTCTCTTCCGTTTAACCAATAGATTTGATGAACTTTGGTAGCATTTTTTGTGGACTCCACAGATGGTTTGTGCCCTGAAACTAGCTTTTGTAATTTTTTTTTCATGTACTGACATTTTTATATTTTTTATGTTGGTATTATTTTAATTAAGAGCGTCGATGGCTCAGGGGTCAAACACTTGACTTGCAATCTGTAGGTCCTGGGTTCGAATCCCGCCATGTACCAATATGTTTTTCGATTTCCGATTTACATATGTACATTTATCCGACGTTCTTACGGTGAAGGAAAACATCGTGATTCAACCTGCACATATCTGAGAAGAAATTCAAAGATATGTGTGAAGTCAACCAAGCCGCACTGGGCTAGCGTGGTTGACTATGGCCTACTCACCCTTGATTTAGGGTAGGCTCCGAGCCCCTCGGTGGGGACGTACAGTGATCTGATGAGCGTTATTTTAATTATACTTTTAAATACAATTTATATCAGGTAGCAGTATTATAATACAAGTTTTTCAAATATTATTATTCTCAACGTATATCCTCAAGTGAACCCGTTTTAAGCGACTCACTTGAATCAACCGGTTGATGCCTCATGCGACGTATACTTTGAAACCTGATGAGCAAAAAATAATAAGCTTATCTATCTACTAGATGTCGCTGTTACACTAATAATGAAAACAAAAGTTTCAACAAAATTGTCTGTGAACGACGGCTTAGTTGTTTACCGTCAGTTTACACTGCTGAATTAATGTTTCTCTATCTTAGAAAAATCCCATCAAAGTACTTTGTGAATTAGGTAGTAAGATCTCACGGTTAAATCCAAATTTGTTCTTTAAATTTTGGTTTGGGTCTTATTTGTGAACCTGTTCTCATCAGTTTCTCTCATTTTTATTCGATTACTAATTTATCTTATTAATTTGATAACGTGCAAGCGAGTTACATGATTTTAGTTTTCACTCACAATTGAATAGAATGATTACATAGTACTAGTAACTTTAAAGTTAATCAGTAGCCTCTGTATTTTTCCAGAGTAAGTTCTATATGCCAAATGATAGGGAAATCAAATAAGCCGTTCTGAAGATACCTTCTAACAAACATCTATCCTCCCATCCAAACTTTCGCATTTGTAAATTATAGTAAGATTAAGAAATTCTAAAAATATAATGATAATAAACAGAACTAAATATACGGGAGCGTATCGTAAACAATACATCAAAAATAATAGGATGATCAATGTAACAGTATAATTTAAAATTACTATTTTTAGGCTATATTTCTTGTCTGGTGACGTCATTTGCAAACCAGTTTAACATGTGTAGTTCGCAGTGGTCGAGGTCGCATGTTTCTTATTGCATATTCTACATACGACCACTTAATCAATCAGCATAAGAAAAAGATGGGTATTATAAATATAGGATTGTATATTGTTATCCTCTTTAAATCTAACTATATTCTACACCAAATCGATAATGCTTTTTGGGCTGTCGAATTAGCCAGCTCATTTTCACTAAATCTTGAAAATAAAACAACTATGCATTACATACTATTTTTTTTTTCAAAATGTAACAAAAGTAACAAGAGAGTTATGTCAATATCGCACCAATCCTGGACAGACATTTGGCGCGATATCTGTTTAACTCTCTGAATGAAGGGATCGTATGTAATCAAACAGCGTTATGTTTTATCCAATCCAAGTAACGGAATACATTGGTGTATACCCCTGGTACTCCTTCTACGCCGCATCCTTTGATACCATAGCTCACAATCCCAACCACTACATATTTAAGGTCGTCCCATTCATGCATCAAAGGTCCCCCTGAATCTCCTCCACAGCTATCTTTCTTCCCGACTCCTCCAGCACAGATGACGTCATCATTGATATTGCCAAACACCTTTGTACAATTTTCTCTAGACACGAATGGTATATGTACTTCCATCTTGATTGTGTTCCTGTCAGTTCCATTACTACCCCAACCAGCAACAGTCAGTCCTTGGTTCTCAAGTAACTCAGCTGTAAAGTCTTTAGTTGGTAGACATGTTGGTTTAATGAAATCTGGAATAAAGGAAGCATGTGATTCAGTTTGTGTCATCTTTCAAAGATACGGATGGCCAAGTAGCATATAGAATAGTGATAGTGTTATATAGTATGTGTGTATTGATTGAAAGAGGTAAAGACTGAAACAAAGCTGTATTTTAGTACTGAATTCTGTAAGTAAAGTTCTAGTTGAAAACTTTTATAGTCCACATAACGTTTTTAATGATTATTTACTCTGCTTTAATTTCTTCTTTTTGGTATTTATCATATAGTACTAAAAAAGACCTGCCCCGTTACACTTCTTTTCTCTTATTCATTCTTACCTGTGAAAACTACATCGGTCTTTAGTTTTGAGAGTCCGATGTCATTTCTCAATGTTAGCCTTGTGTAGTTCGGGTGAATAATGTTCTTTATAATTTCAATAATTTCCACTGTTAACTGAACTTCTTCGCCCTTTACAGTCACCGCATCGGTTGGATATGTAGAGGTGTCGTATTCAGCAAGACGAGCGTACTTACTAGAAAATAAGAGAATAAAAGATGAATCTCTATGTTAAGGACTTGTGTTGTGTTGTGTTATTTTCTTTTAGTACTTACGGTGGTCCGAACGAGACATCAGTCAAGCAGTGGGCAGCGGTAAGAACAAATCGCTTAGTGATCAAACTGCCGCCGCATAAAGTATCCCCGCCACGATATTCTAACAGCACCAGCCATGGATATTGTTCGACGGATGTAACTTCACCTCCTAATAAATTTATAAATTGTGATGAACAATGGTGAAGAAAAAAACACGAACTTTACCATTAAGTTACTCTGGGGAAGAATAAGAATCGAATAGTATCCTTGTGCTTGTGTTGAAGTGCAAGCCGTGTAGCTTGAGTTCTTTGTTTTATATACTGTCGCTTGACTGAGGTTTATTGGTTATGTGGAAGAAAAACTACATTGTACTACAATATGTAGTTTTATACGTACCCATAATTCTAGAATTTAGCTTAATTTCAGTTCCACATTCTAATATATTTGCAGTTTGACTTGAGTTGTTGTTGCCGATTGATAATGTGTCAATGTCTGGTTTATCGTAACTTGGTTCAAGTTCGATGTCGTTCCCTGTTAATGGTTTGATCGTCCTAAATCTTAACCATTCAGTCTCTAACGGACAGCATACCTAAAAAAATAACAGTTTTACAAAATCTCTAGCTGTTTCCCACGACTACGTCCGAGTGGAATTAAAAAAAACATTATAAGTAGCCTGTGTTCTTCCAGACTATGTTCTATTCATGTGACAAATTTTATCAAAATCCTTTGAGCTGTTTCTTCAAACAAACATCCATCCATCCATCAATCTAAACATTCGTATTTATAATATTAGTAAGATAAAAAGTCTAAATATAGTTTGATAATATGTATTCAGGTGATGATCCAAGTCGAAAAAATTATCTTATTGGTTTTTGATAGATAGACAGTTTCAAACTAAACTGATATTTTGAAATTAAAGCGAACCATTGATCCTACTGACAATGATCTAGAACATTCTGGGAAGGAATACATTTCTAATGATACTCCAAACTTACAAACGTTACATCAGTATATGCCCTTATCCCTTCAGACGGTCAGCACAGTATGCAGTACTCCTCCATACGTCTCTATCAGCCGTCATATCTGAATCTATCCCTTTCCTACGCATATCTTCTTTCACACAATTCATCCATACTTTCTTTGGTCTTCCTCTACCTTTGTAGCGATCCACATTCAATCCCAAGAGATGCAAAGAAATTTATGACATTTTATCGTGTAATTCTTCTTCTTCTAGTGCCTCTTCAGTCTTGAAGGTTGGCCGCTAACTTGGAATATTTGGTTCTGTCAAGCGCAAGGCGAAACAGTTCCTCTGCTGACCTAATCCCCGTCCACTCCATAATATTACGTAGCCACGATTTTTTCCTACGTCCAGCGCGTCTCTTGCCTTCAATCGTGTAATAACTTACCGCAAATTGATAATCCGAAAAGTAACCACATGAAGATTGTTTTATGTAAAGTTCTTCGTCAGCTGTTTTTGATCTTTTCTTGTTTAGATCCCGTAAAGGTTTGCAGTTTTTTAGCATTCGACATTGACCCCCAAGACCGTTCGGCTGTCTGCATAGTTCTAAAACATGTATTAGATATAGATATTAGTAAAAGATTAGAATTAGTTGGTAATTTTTTGTAAAGTATTTAGGAGGGTTTAATTATGGATACAAAATTCATATGCGAAGCGATTTTATTGTTGACCGAAGGCTAAAAAGGAAAATATGTCATCGGCCATCTTGTGGTGCCGGCCATCTTGGATTTATCTGTAGCGAATATTTACACGACACATAATTTATGTCTAAACGCTTTGCGTACTTTACTATAGTAATTATTGAGCTCCATATATGTAGGCTTTTATGTAACTAATGACAGTTTTTTCTTTCATATTTTATTACCTGCCAATAATATTTGATAGTTAAGAAATAACTGTTTTTTACAAATAAATATTTGTTGTATTACTCACCAGTGTTCAAATAATGCGTTGCAACAATATGAATAAAAACAAAGATAAGTAGTAACTGCATTGATTATACTTCTCTTTCGCACACTGATGCTGATGTAAATGAGTGCACGTTGGTACTTTGCTGGTGTTTATTTCTGCGTTAGTTCTTACGATGACGTCACTAGAGTGGGAAGGATGTATATTTGAGGTTTCCTCTACTAATATTGATAATGTTGTTTATTTCAGATGAATAAAATATAAACATATCAATAGAACCACACGTTTTTATAGTATTCGATTCTTTAATAGAAGTTATGTTAAACAGTGCTGATCTCTTAGTCCATCTTACGATTGCCTCAAGTTTTTATCATAGTTTTAAAATTATCTTATTTCTTACTAATATAAATGCGAATGTTTAGATGTATGGATGGATGTTTGTTAGTTACAAGGTATATTTTAATTTCTAAGTATCTATCAATTAATTTGGCATATATGTAGAACATAGTTTGGAAGAACATATAAGCTACTTAAGTTTTTTTTTAATCCTGCACGGACGAAGTCGCTGGCGTCAGCTAGTTGCTTATAAAATGTTTATTGTTAGTTTATGACTATATATTTATTAAACATGAAATTTTTCTACGCATACTTTGATTTTTCTATCATTGAATTCGAGTTTAAATAGTTATGTGAGATTAAATGATCTATGCATTTTTTTATTCTAAAACATTAATAAGAATATTGTAGATTTTAATTTATTTCATTTGCTATAGAAGGAGCAACAAGGAAATACACATTTATAATTGTTTTATTCATGTGAACGACTAATTAAAACAGCGTTATACCGCGTTGTTTTATCCGCTGTATAATTCTAAGTGGCTTCCAGTACAGAAACTATTGTACAGTATGTCATCCCTTTCATTATCTTTCAAGAGAATAGAGATAGCAATATGTTTTGTGCTGCAGTGAAGACATGTAGTTGTGCCTTTTGTTTAATGCACACTTCGTCATAAGGCATATACAGGTAACGCGTCTTACGTTACAATTCTACTGCAGTTTCACTTGTATAACCATCCCTTTCATTCTCTTTGATAAAACAGAGACGATGATGTTTGGTAACGCGATTAATACTGCACTCAAAACCTACTGTTTGAGACTTCGGTTTAACTATTTGCAAAAACTCATTTTACAATTTCAAAGCTTTGTTCGATGATTATAGTGTTAAAATAAAAATAATTCAATGATTCATTGTTTAGTAATTTTTATTGTTTTTGACTTAAGTACTAAATTGCAAAGCGACTTATCACTAAATAAATAAGACTACATTAACAAAATACTATAAAACGCAGAGTCGTTCAGTGAATACGACAATCACGTGTAGATTTTAAAACTAAAAGCCTTAATGGTTAAAGGGTACGGTCTTCAGATCGGGAATGGGGACTCAAATCCTGCTGTTCGAACAATGTTAAAAACCTTGCAGAAGTGTAAAGCTTAGTTGAAATGGTACAAGAAATATTAGATACGTAACAACAATCTGCTTATATCTTAACAAAAATTGACAATAAAAATTTACAATTAAACGACTGTGTGTATCCATTATATGAGTAAAATTAATAATTTGACTGAAAATAATTATCAAATTAAAATGTCTATTTAAAATTAAAACTAAAATGCAAGGAAATACACATCAATAGTATCCATGTAGTAAAAAAAAAAACTAGAAATATACAAGTCAGGTAATTACAAAGTTATTACACATCGAGATCAAAGCTGTACATAATAATATCAATAAAATGCTAAATAGTAATTACCAATGGTGGGAATTAAATAAATAATTAAATTTTCATTTGTCTTCAATGATTTTCTTAAATATAAACTCCTTAATAATAACTTTGTTCATCTTTGATGACACTTCACCATGGGTTCAGTCAATATCCTCACTCTATAAATCTCTTTTAGCTAACTAAAATTATTGAGGTCATTTTGCACCACAATGTTTACCTAAAGCTAAGTAAATACAAGTCTTAACAATTTTTATATCATATTATCCTTTATCCAATTTAAATATTGATAAATATATGTGTATATAGCCGGTATGTTCTCAGTACCACACTCTCTGTAACCGAAGCTAACCACTCCAATGGCTACGTAAGTATTGTCTTCTAGCTCATACATCAATGGTCCACCGGAATCACCAGAACAGGAATCTTCCCCACGTCTCCCTCCCGCACACATTTGACTATCAACTATTCTGTTCAATGGATAGCTTTGTCTACACTGATCGTTAGGTACATAAGGTATTCTTACGTGTTTCTTGACATCGCTAAATTTTGAACCGTCACTACCCCAACCGGCGACAGTGAAATTTAATGGTAGAGTGAAAGTTTTCCGATAATCTAGCGTCGGTAGGCATATTGTACGGATGAATTCTGAAATGAGAATTAGTTTGGGTTAGAAATTGTCCATTGACTGATTGGTAAGGTCACCAATGTGACGAACCATTAACGGCTATAGACGATAACCTACGCAATATAAAAGAAAAAAACTATGTTATAAACACTTGAAATTATGTTGAAATAATACTACGTAGATAAGAATATTTGTTAAAAAAAGAGAACCGTTTTATCACACGATACTATATTGACTGCACAGATTAATCTACCAAAGGGAAGTTTTTTTATGTAAAAGAAGCGGGCAAACGAGAAGCTGGAACACCAATGTGTTGAACTGCGCCAATGGACATCTGCAATAGTAGATGAACCGCAGATGCGTTGCCGGCTTTTGAGAATATGACCAAAATAAAAACCAAATTATAGCAATGATTGGAATTTGACGAAGGCGACGACGATCAGATGTGAATAAAAATAATCTAATGGTTTTTGTCTTTACGGTAAACCTTTTAGCCCAATCTTTTTTATATAAAATTTTGAAATGCTATTTGAATTTCGGATTACCTTTACAACTCCGATTTATTTTGCCGCTTTATTTTATAATTTTCATTTAAAAATTTTGACGAAATAAAATCAATATGGAAATGAATAAGAAATAATTAAAAATGTGTATGTTTTTTACCTGTGAAAGTTACAGCTTGTTTTAATTTACTTAGGCCGATGTCATGATGATGATATGCCCTTGTGTAGTTGGGGTGACGTATACTTCTTTCTATTGCTACAATTTCTACCGTTATGCTATCGACTCCACCGCCATCAGTCTCGACGTAATCAGTTGGATAAGACGTAGTGTTATATTCGGCCAATCGGGCGAAAATTCTGAAAAATATTTATGTTTCTATTTTAATACATGTGCCTACTTTCTGGTACATGTCTGATTCCATTGTTAATAACGTTTCCCTCGATCACTTGATCTGATTTTATATTCTATTGTTGATTTGATATCTGAATGTATGAAGTAGTTTTGAAGAATAATATGTATAAATGTTATTCATGAAACAGATATAAAGACATAACAGATTATTTTTGTACAGCTTATATAAAGGGTTGCCAGCCGAATGAGAATTTTGGCTGACACGGGCTATTGTTAATATAAAATCAGATATCATGAGGTCAGACTAAAATAAAAAAAATTCTATAGCATAAGCATACGTGCCTAGTCCATTGAAACTTTTATTAACCACCATAAACCACGTTCCATTGCTTTCGATGGACTATAGATACAATGCGATGGAAGCGAAGAAAGAAGAAAGAAGTGTTAGTAGACCAAACAAACGGTTTGCTTATGATATAATTGAAAGTATAGGAACCAACGGGATGGTACTCGCCAGGGACCGAAAAATCGGAAAACGATGGATACGAGATCCGAAGCGAGATCTTGTACACAAACACACAAACTTGTACATACTAAACATATGGCAATAAACAACGCTTTATTATTTTAAAATGACTTACGGTAAATTATCTTCTCGTAAGCAATGCGCTGCAGTAAGAACAAATCTTGATGAAATAAGACTGCCGCCGCAAAGAGTGACCCCTCTCGCATATTCGAGCAGTACGAGCCAGGGATATTGGTCGATCGCCGCTGGGCCTCCACCTAAAATATGAAATTATATTGCTTAACAACTATCTTAGGTTTAATCCAAAAATCTTTAATAATAAATATATAGTTTAGTCTGAAATTAATTGCGATTCTTTGGAGCATGACCTACATGAAAATATACGTCGACCAAAGCAATGGATCCTACGACATGTTTATTTATGTGATTTTTTGCGTACTTACCAATTATTCTATTAGCATTAGATGTATCTTTTCCACAATCTGTGTCATCTTCAATAGGTACTTTGGAAATATTGTCTTGATTTGTATTATTCGGTGGATCTCTGTCGTCTTTAGTACCTCGAGTGTCCAATTCAATGCCATTGTCGTTGATCGTAACGGGTTTTTCTTTGGTAACTATATCATCAATTTTAAATTCTTCATATAAAACAGGCTTTATTATACCATCGAAGTCGGACCACTGCGATTCGGGTGGACAGCAAATCTAAAGATAAAACTATATTAATTGCAAATCTTGTAAAGAATATCCGGAGAAGATATTTTCATCAGTTTCCTTCGCCAAAATTATGACATGCAACATATTTAAAAGTCAAGAAAACACTATAGCAATGTAAAGGTATGGTATCATTCCTGTATTATTTTCATTTTAATATATATTTGATTGATTAATGTTTATGTACAGGTGTTTAGGATATTTCTGTTCAAGTGAGGGAGTCGGCGGAAAACATATCTCTTAACCGGGCTGAAATTTATACGTCTAGGTTGATTTTCCAATTTTAGATGTACATTCATCTGGCGTCCAACAATATATGTGAAGGCTCGGAAGGCTAGAAAGTTGCAGGACGTTTATGGACTAGAGAAGCCAGGGATAGATAGAAATGGAAAACTTTAGAGGAGGCCTTTGCCTTTGAGGATAATTGCTTTATCACCATAGCTTTAGATAAGTTCTGAGCCCATCAGTGATTTTTTCAGTAACAATAGACTGGTACTTACCACCTGTTTGAAGCCACTTGTGACTGTACACAATGATTGTCTCAAATACAACAGTTCGTCGTTAGTCTTAGTTCTCTTCCTGTTGAGTTCGTACAGAGGCTTGCATTTCTTCATTATCATGCATTCTCCGGTGTTGCCGTTCGGCATTCGGCATTGCTTATCTGAAATCCAAATGTTATTTTGGTATTATGTTAGTTTAGCAACGTCATCTACATCTTAGATATAAAATTTCTCTTGTCACAATGTTAGTTACCATACTCCTCTGAAACTGCTTGACCGATTTTTATGAAATTTTATGTGAATATTCAGTAGGTCTGATAATCGACTGCTATGTATTTGAAAAATACTTCCAACCCCGAGTAACATATTTATTACTGATTTTTTTTATATTTCGCATGACGATGTCGCGGAAAACTGATATTAATTTTTATAAACTTTGATACAGATGAGATGAAGAATTGTGCATCATTTAGTTTCTATGCATAGTTTAGGTACTAATTTAATATTAGATGTGCAATTGAACCTTTATTTTTCAAAGTAAAACCTTTTGTTTATGTGTAAAGCGTGGTTATGTATAATACGTGAGATCACATAAACATTGAAAGATGAGTCACAATGTAACATTTAGCTTCTGTGCCCAATATGTGCGTTTTGTTTATTCGACGTGGGAAGACGAAATTTCCTTTTTATAGGTGAGGGTCAATTAAGGAATTTGGTTCTTTTATCTCTGTCAATTCTTATTCGGCTTTTTATACGTTAGAAACATTTGATCTGTCATTTTTATATCTTGTTTGATAATTTCTTCAATCTTATCCTCATTTACCTTAGTAAAACTTTGATAAAATTATGAATTTGACCTTGATGAACTATTTAGTATTTCACTAAATTACTTCCAATGAAAATATATTCTCTTGTTAATGTTTGTATTAATGAAATTTTGCAATGTTGTTTCAATTGCCATTATTAAATTCTTGCACGTTTAGAGTTACTTGAAATTAATATGTTTACTGAAGATTAAAATTGAATTTTGTCTCACGTTTTTAAATTTAGAACTCAATTCAATTGTTTAATGTCAGTTGTCGCGTAATGTTTTTGTTTACGAACCTGCATTTATGAATTCCGTAAGATAAAACACAAGTACGAAATACGAAAGTTGAAACTGCATTTCGAATATTGTTTGTCACACACACAAGCGGCTCGGTGGCCGTTCGAAGCGTTACTGAGGTGTAGACGATGCGTTACTGAGGTGGATACTTTTGATGTTCCCTCAAATGATTGGCCTTTTAACTTGTAGCGTTGCATTTATGTTATGAAAGCAAACTCTGATTTGCACGGTTAGCATTGGTGGGGTAAATGCGTGCTTTGAAGACGCATCAGAATTTTCATTTGGATTTTAAGGTAAGGGTTACATGGTTATTGAAATCGATCAGCCGTTACTAAAAAAAATGTTTTTTAAATTAATTAACACTAAGAGAGACTTAACTTAAAAATTAAGTTCGACAGTAAAAGAGGGTTAAGAAAATACTTATGAGAAAACAGTTTGCCAGAAAATTTAATTTAAGTGTGCAAACATTTTATCAATTAGAGTTACTCTACAAGAATAAATTGCCTTCCACTTTTACAGTTTTTTTTTTGTTTATTCTCAGATGGCAGCTTTTATTCAGTACTGTACTGTCATTTTGTTTTATGATGAGTTTCCAATGACGAAACATTTTACTAATATTATAAATGTGAACGTTTGGATGGATGTTAGATCGTAACCTGGAAGCAAACATAGGCTACTTATATTTTTTTTTAATCCTGTGCAGACAGACTGTTTTTACTAATGTCATGCAATAAAAATGTTATATAGTTGCTACTACAGTGGAAACTCACCGTTACAGCCCAGTTAAGTTATGCCCTACAATATTTCTATACATGTTGAAACTTGCAATCAGCAAATGTATTTCGTAATAATAATGGTGAAATTTGTAATATTTCATCATAAATAATTGTTGAATCAGTGTACTCTTCATCAATTATTAATATAATAATTTTTAAATACAGGATGTTATAAAAAAATAATTGAAAAACCTTATGTCACATCACTATCATGCTACACTTAATAGATACGTGGTCTATTAACCCTTAATGTCCATGTAAGTTTCAAATAAAAAAAACCCTTATGTTAATTTTGTATAGTATACCATACATACAACTTTATAAAAATATACGATCACTATAAAATAATTTTTAACTTAGTTTTTTGCTATTTAAAAAAGAAATCTCGCCACAATAAGGGTTAAAAGCCCTTGTTTTTTATGATTTATTACATGAAAGGTGACAAGTAAGAAGAGAGTGACAACTGAGATGATATAACATAACATAGATGATATAATTTAACATAGATCAATTAATGAGGAACAACAAACTCCAACCCTATGTGAGCGGGATAATGATTGAAATATGTTGTTGAGTTATGTAAAGACGAGAGAAGTGTGTTCGATAAAAGCCAAAATATGTAACACTTGCTGTCGCCCGCGATTCCGTCCGCGCGGTATTAAAAAAAATAAACATAATTACTATGTGTCTTCACAGTCTATGTTATACATCTATGCCAAATTTCAGCGAGATCTATTTAGCCGTTTCGGAGATACCTTCAAACATCAATCCATCCATCTAAACATTCGCATATATAATATTAATAAGAGTAAGATTTTAATTGTAATATTGATGTTTGTATGTTTCTGAGACCAAAATATCCAATTCAAATTTATTATCTCTGTTTTGTCAAAGAGAATGACAGGGATGACGATATGTATACGGAGATTTTGATCTCTGAAACCCACGGTTAATCTTTTTTTCACCACTGTTGTTTGACATATAAAATTCAGTTCATAGCAATAATAGCGTAAGCTCAGAAATATACTTGTCATTAGTAAATTGAGTGCGATTTTAGTTATTAACTTCAATTTAAATTTGGAATGAACACAAATTGACGAAAACACATGAATTTGCAATAATTCGTTTGTTGAATTTGCCGAATTACATTTTGCATAGGAAAATGACAAACTAGATGGGTACCCGATTTTTCTTTTCCTGATGAAATGAATCATTGAATGAATCATTTTAATAAAACGTTAATAATTTCATAACACAAATACTATAAATACATTATGAGTCATTGAGGAAAATTTGATGTTAATATTAAAAAAACAGAAAAAAATTGGAACGTAATAGCATCAAACATTTTGCCAAGCCTTTTTATTATATTGAATGTTTGTTTTATCAGCAAATAATTTTAATTCAACAGTTTTAACAGTGGTAGAGCCCGCTTTAACATCTTCGCACGAGTTGGCCCGGCTCGCCCGGTGAAATACCACGATCACACAGAAGACACGCGTCAAGTGGAAGCAATTCCGCGCTTCGTCTGATGAGTGTGCGTCCCGGAGGCCTAATTTAGTCCTCTTTCCCTTCCCATCCCTTTCTTTATAAGGAAAGGATGGGAAGTGGAAGTGGACTTTCCGGATGAGAGGATGCATGGAAAGGGAAGATATTTTCTTTCTGTGCATCCTCTCCTCCGTCGATTAAAGGTAGGCAACGCACATGCAATTGCGTATGTCTATGGGCACCGGTCACTTCGCTATTTCAGAGATTTAAGGTGGCCGCTCGCTCGTTTGCCACCTTTTGATATAAATAAAACAACTTTCTACAATAGAACAACCTGTATATAATTTTATAGGTGTTGCTTTTACCTCTAAAAATAATGACGAAATAAATAACTTAAGTTCTATAAAGTAGCGGCACATACTTTGGTTTAAAACGGTAATTATTGAGGTCCTGAGTGTTTGGTGCGCCCATTATGAATCATCCTGTATAAAAGAGAAAGAGAATAAAGTATTTTAAGGAAAGAAGGATTTAAAGTTTTTTACAGTAATTATAGTAAAACGTATCCATACAGATGAAAGAGGTCCAGGTCCTGAGTTCGAATCCCGCCATGAACTAATGTGTTTTTCTATTTTCATATGTACATTTATTTGACGTTTTTACGGTAAAGGAAAACATCGTGACGTAACCTGCACATATCTGGGAGAAATTCAAAGATATGTGTGATGTCAACCAACCCGTACTTGGCCAGCATGGTTGACTATGGCCTAGTCACCCGTAACTTATGGCAGGCTCCGAGCCTCTCAGTGGGGACGTATAGTGAGCTGATGATGAGATGTATACATACATACAATAATGATTAGTTTTCTAAACCTGAAAGATTCAATACCTAACGATTATCTTACTTCTTACTAATATTATAAATGCGAATGTTTGAGTATGTTTGTTAGAATGTTGACGTAGAACATAGTCTGGAAGAACACAGCTTACTAAGTTTATTTTTAAACCAGCACGGAGGGAACTATAGACGTCAGCTAATTTAAAATAATATTAATAAATTGTGTTTTCCCCGAATTGGTAATATTAATATTATAACTTGTGTTTTTTTTATTACGGTTTTGTGATACGACGTATATAGATATGGAGACATTAACATTGGTTTTACGTCAATGTAAAGGTACGCATCTATTGACCTGCGACAGACGCACCGCATGCACGCGGCGGCGGCGTGGATGATGGACGCAGTGCTATGTAAAATCATACAAAGCAAACTAAATATGTTGTGTGCCTTACGTCCGGTGTGTCCATACGGCTAATGGACACGTGCTTTAAACGATATCAACAGGAATTACGTGATTAAATTGCCACAGTACCAAAATAACTTAATATACCAATGACGTTGATTGTTATACGTTTTACGTTTTTTAAAATACCACAATGTTTTGTTTAAGAATTTTGTAGGGAATTCGTTATTATTTTTAAAAAGGAAAATAAGTTATTTTCTATAATAAAATAACTGAAATGACCAAGTTATAATTGGATAAAACTGAGGATTGTGCTTTACTTGACAATTTTCGTAAGTGCGCTTTTTTAACGCCGCGTTAAAACGCGCTCAAATAGATCAGCTGTATTTAAATCTGGTCATACAGTAATGCTTTCAAGACGCGACGCTTTTTTGTCGCTCAATATTGCATTTTGAACATTGGGCGAAGGAAACAAGAGTAATTTTAAAACGTTCATCACGTGAAAAAAGCGCCCGTTTGTTCGGTTTATTTGAAACCGAAATGTAATAATAATTTAAATCTTACATAAAACAACAACATATTTGTTACTTTTATTTATTTATTAGCTGTCGCCCGCGGCTCCGTCTGCGCGAAATTAAAAACAAACACAATTTTTAGTGTCTTCTTTCAGACTATGTTCTATATGTATGCCAAACTCATCGAGATCCATTCAGCCGTTCTGGAGATACCTTCAAACATATATCCAACCATCCTTCTAAACATTCGCATTTATAATATTAATTTATTTATAAGATTTTTTTCGTGAAATAAATTGTAAAAACATCAAATATCATCAAAATTGAACTTGAGTGGGTTATAAAATAAGCAACTTAAAATTATTAGTACTAGTAATTTCAATCGTACGAAATATATGAATTAATGTAAATTAGCCAGTAAATATTGTTACATTTGCGTTCCTGGTATTTGATAAGTGACTAACACCGGATGAAATAGAATTGTCAGAAACGTGATGTCTATAGCAGTAACTGATTAAAACACATTATAGTGAAACAAAAGAATCCCAGTTAATTCATCGGAATAGTTTTGTGACAAATTTTAACTGTAAACATGAATAACAATGTTAGTTTGTAGCTATCGCCCGCGAGTCTGTAGCCTATGTGCTCTTACAGACAACGTTCTACATCTGTGCCAAATTTCATAAAGATCCGTTGAGCCGTTTCGGAGATACCTTTAAACAAACATACATCTATTCTAAACATTCGCATTTATAATATTAACTAGATGTCGCCCTTGACTCCGTCCGCGCGGAATTAAAAAAACAAATATAATTAGTAGCCTGTGTCTTCTTTCAGACTATGTATGTATGGCAAATATCATCGAGAACCGTTCAAGCGTTTTGGATATATCTTCAAACAAACATCCATCCATCCAAACATTTATAATATTAATAGGAATAGTAAGGTTGTTTTTTATCTCTTCCGTTTCCCTTTGGGTTTACATATGTATAAGTCAATTTATTTGTGATTTCCTGTAGCCTAAATTGCTAATCCTAGTTCGAAGAGTGATGAACAATTCGTATCGTTTTTTTTCACTCTTCATATTTTGCAATCTTTAGTGACATGAAACAATTTTAACCATCCAGTATAGTCCATAGTCCAGCATTCCCATATACGAATTTCAATTGAAAATTCACTGTTTTAGTTCTTTAAAATACTTTTAGCCGAGGGAAGAAATAGACGTAATCTTTTTCTCGTCTCGATTCGTTTTATTACATTGTCTTTCCTACTGAAATACCAGAATCTTTCCTGCAAGTTTTCTGAGCAGTCTCAGGTTTTATTGGTCACTAAACATCAGTTGTTTTTTTGCTTTTTACGTCATCTATAATAATTGTAAGGTTTGTTATGGTTCGAAGAGTTGTTATATAAAATAAATTAAATTAACCTAATAAATCTTTATGTTTTATTTAATCATCAAGTCAATTAAGTCTAAGGTGTTATTTGTGATCGGATCCATGGTATATATTCGTATACTTTTGTGTATACGCCGGGTATGTTCTCTAGTCCGCACGGTGTCGGTCCGAAGCTGACGATGCCGACAACTTCGAATAGTCGCCCGTTCTCGTACATTAGTGGGCCTCCGGAGTCGCCCTTGCAGGAGTCTTTGCCGGTTTCTCCGCCCGCGCATATCTGACCCTGCCATAACGCTACACGACGTCTAGGATGATTGTATGATGTCTGGCATTGCTGGAAATCAAAAGTTACGTATTATAGAACTAAAAATACACAAAGCTTTGCTTCCAGAAAAAATTATAATTTTTTAAGCTAGATGGTGGTCCTACGTTTGCTCGATGCAACATACTACGTACCACGACCACACAGAAGACAGGTGTGAAGTTCGAGTTTCGTCTGCTGAGTGTACATGCCGCAGGTCTAATTTTAGTCGTCTTTTCATCCCACCCTTTTATTATATCGGTGGAAGGGTAAATGGATTTAACAAAGATGTAGGCGCATAGGAAGGGAAAATTATTCTCTATTGCGTCGATTAAATGCAGGCAACGCATCTGCAATTGGGAATGTCTATTTGCAGCGGTCGCTTCGCTATTTCGGTGAATTAAGCTAGTCGTTTGCTCGCGTTCCTCCATATAATATAAAATACAAATTATTTTTAGAGAAAGTCCACTCACCTCTTGACTTCTGAAAGGCACACTGACGTGCAGCTTGATGTTGCTACTACTTTGCGTGTTGCTGACCGCGCCCCAGCCGGCTGCAAACAGTCTCAGTTCCGGCGGCGGCGCTACTGCCACGTCAGATGTAGGCAAGCATATTGGTCGTATGAAATCTGGAACAGTTTTATACTAGTCAGTATTACAAATTTTGATCAGCCATTTGCTATTTTGTGTAAGGAATTGGTTAGCTGGACGCTCGCATGATATCAAAAATATTCACAATTGTAGTACCATATTATTGGCTATCTACATAGTAGATTCAAATTCAATAGAAAAACAGTTTATTTTTTCACCTTAAGAAGACTAATTTGTTTAAACTCTTAAGGCCTGGGAATTATATATTGGCTTTCGGAATTCTTTCAATATATAATATAACACTCCAATAATTCTAAAATGTTTTAGCTTATTTAACTTCAAATTAAGCTTTGTCGTCGGATTAAACCGTAAATATACATAATGTAGAAATCACCTCCATATGGTATCAGCTGGCCAAGCCTCAGCAGAGCTATGTCGTGTCTTCTTAGTGCATTAGTAGGGTTGTATTCCGGATGAGGAATGATCTTTTCTATGGGCACGATGAGCGCGCCATCGGTGCAGTCCTCTCCTCCTCCTTCGACTTCCACACAGTCCTGTCCTGAGTTGCTGGTGTCGTATTCCCCGAGACGAACGTTCACGCTGTGGAGCGATGGATGAATTTATCAGTTGTTAAAAAAGAGCCTCAGAAACAGTCCGTGGTTTTTCACACAATAATAACTTTTGGATCAAGGGCTTAGGGTAATCATAAAAATACCTGATGCATGGTTTCAACCATCACCAGCTTCAGCTGATTATGCCAATATGCACCAGAGGAACGTTATGGGGACTTTTTTTTAGTATGTTCAGATGTAAGGACTTTCTACTAAATTTCTGAAATCACATAAAAATCCCGTCTGCAATCGAAGATAAAACTTACGGTGTGCCAACATCAAGCACTGGTCCGGTGACGCAATGTCCGGCAGTTAACACGTATCTCCCGCTGATGAGTACTCCGCCGCACAACAGTTTGATCTTGTCATCCTTCTTGTACTCTAGAATCACCAGCCACGGATACTGGTCGATAGCAGTCGCGTTACCACCTGGCAATAGGATGTATTGTTATCGAATCTTTTGTATGTATAATTATGATTTGCGGAAAATACGAACCGTTGACTCATGAGTTATCAAGGTTAGTGACGTAACGGTTAAATCTGTGGTAACAGGATTTGTTCGTGCGTTTAAATATATTGTTTTTAATTATAGCTGTAGATATATTTTACTTAGATCCGTGAAGATTGTTCTGTGATCAATAGAATGACGACGAATTAAACAATTTTAATAATCAATAACCTAATAGTTAAGGGTACGGATTTCTGATTGCGTGGTCGGGGTTTCAAATCCCGTCATTCGACTATTGTAAAACCATATCCTAGCACAATCAAAGAGCTTAGTTGGAATGGTAATAGAAATATTAGTAAATTATCAAAAATCCGCTAATATTAAAAAAAAAATCATTAGCTCTTTCCAATCATATTTGATCACCTCTATTTAACGCAAAATATACTTATGATAAAGAAATGGTAGAAAAGTAATTTATTACCAATGAGGTAGGTTGGCTTTGATATTTTAACAACCAAGGGAAGAGTACTAAGTACGACTAAGTTGACCGTTTCTTGAACTCTTGTAAAATATTTTACCAAAAATCCTGTTGCCGCCGCTGCTCTCTTGACCGCAGCATTCGGTGGCTGGGTCCGGTGGTGTGGCTGTTAGCGCGCACACTGTCGGCCTACCCACGTTGTTGGATGATGTTGAAGGTCCACAGCACACGCTGTACTGTCCTGTACCCTGACATCTGAATCAAGACAAGATAAACTAATGAGCTAGCTATAAAAATAGGAGTAGTTTATATCATATTAATAAAAATTTTAAGCGTCAATAGCCTAATGGTTAAGGATACGGATTTCCGATCACGAGGCCGGGGGTTCGAATCCCGACATTCGACTATTGTCGTGAACCATATCCTAGCACAAGCATAGAGCTTAGTTGGAATGGTAAAAGAAATATTAGTAAATTTACAACAAAAAAAAATCTACTAATATTGTCATAAAAAAAAATTGGATTGTCTGTATGTATGCATGCATTTGTACAAATAATGTATTTGATAACAAAAAAAATATTTTTTTATTTTTGTCGAGTAATCTTTGAAACGGCTGGAGCGATTCTGACTGGTCTTCGACGCTAATGTTGCTAGCGAAATCGAGGGCGACTAGTCTTTTATATAAATGTGAAGGTGTGTTTGGACGAAGCAACTTGTTTCCATATGTTTGATACTTATTTTCCTGAATTTTTTTGTCTCAAACAATTATAATATATTAATTTTTCGAAATGAAATGATTATAGAAGGAAAAGATTGATTGTCAAAAGAGCAAATATGATGATGACAGATCTAGTGATGTAATACGTATTAACATTTTTAATGCGAAAGTTACTCTGCCTTTCTGTCCTTCTTTCACGCAAAAACTATTCAACCAATTTAAATGTAATTTGGCAGACTGATAGTCTAAAGCCTGGGGAAGGACATAGGTACTTTTTTTACGCGAAAAAGGAGTTTTAAGGGATTGAAAATGGGTTGGAAATTTGGTGTTGTCATTTTTATAGATAGAAGCTTGAAACGTGTCCTTAATAATACCTTGAGTTTTTAACGAAAGTAATATCACTTGGTGTATTCGTTTGAAGTAGTTTTGTGATATGTGGACAGGAATAGAGACCGACGCAATTGCCCACTTGTCCATCAGGCGTGATGCATCTATCGCCTGTTGCTGTGGCAGTCGCTCCCGTGGTTGCTGGTTGAGGCTGAGGTGTGGTCGGAGCTGGAGTTGTCACCGGAGCGGGCGGGGACACTTGACAGCACACCTGGAAGAATGAAATAATGCATAAAAGAATTGTCAAGGGTCATAGGAAAATATGTTAGCGGACACAACTGTTGAAGGCGTTTTGAATAAAAATTTGGAATCCTTTAAGCCTAATCAATTGTTGTTTAGTATAAACTAACGGTCGCCCGCGATTCCGTCTGCGTGATATTTAAAAATACATAATTAGTAGCATATGTGTTCTTCCAGACTATGTCTTATATGTATGGCAAATTTCATCAAGATTCGTTCAGCTGTTCTGGAGATAGCTTCAAACAAACATCCATCTATCTAAACATTCGCATTTATAATATTAAATATAATAAATGTAATTAGTTTTTTCATGTACGTATTAAAGAATCATAATAAAATAGTAATCACATTGAAATAATACAGACAATGGCCACTATATAAGTTAAGTTTTATCCTTAAGATATTATGTCCTCTTAAAAAAAAATCGGTCATTAATTCAAACAAATTCTGCAACTTTATTATTTGAATTCTTAAGAAGTAGAAGCATAATATTAGTTTTACCAACGGGGTCCTTTCTTTGAATCCACAGTGGGCTCTTCTTAGTGTATCATAGTCCTGTTGCGATCGGTTGGGCTTGTTCAATAACATCAAAAGTTGTGGACACTGGTAGATATCGACACATTGGCCTGAGCCGCCGTTCGTTGGAATACAAACATCCTCTGAAATCACATAGATAAAACTAATGAATCGTCAGTTGAATTGTAGAGAGGTTAAGGCGTAGAGGGGTTTAAGCCGCTTCCAAAATAATGGCATCTATTTTTTGCAAATTAAAGTGAGGTAGATTGCAATTAATTTTATGACGATAAAAGGCAGGCTGTGATTTGAGTGTACAGTTTTTTTATTTTTTATTTTAAGTAGATTTTTGTTAATTTACTAATATTTATTTTACTTCCATCTAAGTTCTAAGCTTGTGCTAGATGGTTGACAATAGTCGAATGGCGGAATTTGAACCACCAACCAGGTGATCGGAAAGCCGTACCATTAACTATTGACAAATTATACTATAATACAAATGTATAACTTGATAGAATCATTCTTTTACGCAATTTAGTTTTAGTTAAAGTTTTATCCTCTATTTTTATTTCAATATATATAACAGATTGTTTTACATCTTGGGTAAATACCTTCTGGGATTTACAATTACTTAAATGATGCCATGTTTCCTCTTGCAAAATTTACAATGACCGATAGTATAACTTAACCCTTATTAGCCTAGAGTTTCAATTTTGATACCAATCTTTTAAACCGAATGTTCACAATACTATTAGTTTTTTTTATAGGTTGGCTGTACCTATTTTACTGTTGTATATTATTCTTTCCAACGAAATTTTAAAAAAACAAATTTTATTATTGTTTTATTTTATCAAGCAAACAGTAATATTAAAAATAAATCACTCTTGTATGTAAATCAGGCTACTAAGGGTTAAACATGCAATCATAATATTTGTAATTTTACGCTTTCTTATTTTACAAGCTATATTAAAATAATCGAGTGTTAAAACATAAAACAAACTGCTAACTGCCTGATAGTTTTATATTTTTAAAGTACAAATACTGGCTGTAAAAAAGCACTGGTACATATTGAAAAAGAAAAAAAACAACGGCCATTGACTTCGTAGTTAATATTGATGTCTAATCCGTAGTTAATATTGATGTCCAATCCGTAGGTAATATGAATATTTACAACGTGGTAACTATAAAGTGGCAACCCTATATTCGAATCCCGCCACATGTTTACTACCATTATGTTTTTCGATTATCGATTTACATATTTACATTTCTCCGATGTTTTAACGCTGAAGGAAAACATCAAAAACATCGTGATGTCAATCAACCTGCACTGGGCCAGTGTAATTAACTATGGCCTAGTCGCCCCTAATTTAGGGTAGGCTCCGAGCCTCCCAGTAGGGAACATATAGTGAGCTGATAATGAATAGCGACATACTTCTAGTGTTGCCAGCGTCATTTCAAAAGTTTATTCATCTTATAAAATGCTATGAACAGATAGTGTACATAACTGTATATACATTACATTAAAATATTTGTACTATTACATATAAATTATAAAGTTTTGATAACCTTTGTGTTTGTTATATATAAATATTTTATATCGTATATATTAGTAATAGGGTATTACCAAGTATGATAAACAAAATTATATGAGGATGTGATAAATAGTTGTTTCACATGATTTAAATTATACATACATCCTTTTCACTCTCTTTGTTCTTACTTTACGATATATTTATAGTATACTTGATTTGTATTCCCCCGTGTTTTCACTACCGAAACATTGTCCGTTATTGTCTTAGTTTTATGAAGAATTAGCTGTCGCTCGCGACTCTGTCCGCGCGGTATAAAAATAACTTAGCAGTAGCCTATGTGTTCTTCCAGTCTATGTTTAACATCCTTGCCAAATTTTATCAACATTCGTTGACCCGTTCTGGAGATACCTTCAAACTAATATCCATCTATCCAATAGATTAGTAAAATAATAAGATTGTATGCAATATGTATTGTATAATTACTAGGCAGTGTAAACTCACTGCTTGCAAGTATTGTACAGATATGTACGTATTTAGAAATAGGACTAGCGATCACTCTCGTTTGTGCAGAATTAAAATAATTAAGTCTTTAATACTCGTATGTTACTTTCCCGTCCAAGTCCCATCAAAATCGAAGCAGCAGTTCTGCAGATAACCCGGATGAAACGAGGACTTGCAGACATACAGACAGATATAAATTCTAAATATAGGTTTTTCGTTATCAGCAACGCAAATGCATCATGTGTGTAAATGTGTATTTTCTATATTACATACAAACACTTCAGTTGTATTAATTTTTATAGTGTTTGTCGAAACTAAGACCATGTAAGAGATGTACACTGCAAGTGCTACGCTATTTGTAAGTGTATACATCTGATACAGGAAAATTACACAATTAAGTACCGAGAATTGAAGATGGATTAGTTAACGGAAAAATAAATGTACAATCTTATCTTACTAATATTATAAATGCGAATGTTTAGATGCATGGATTGATGATAGAAGATATCTCCGGAACATAGACTGGAAAAACACATCGGCTACTTGATAAATTTTATTTTAATTCCGCACGGACGGAGTCGTGGGCAATATCTAGTATATCATTATCAGCAATGAAGTTTATTTGCATTATTTTCATTAATGTTTTATATATTTTCGATTAATTTAAATCATTTTTTTTCTTACAAATTATGTGTGTTTTTAATTTTAAGTTTGTCAGACTAAAAAAATGTTTGCCTCTTTTGTATATTTATACAAAAGTAGTTGTTGACCGCGACTTTCTCCGTGAATTAAAAAAACGTAAGCCTATATGTTCTTCCAGACTATGCTCCTATATGTGTGGCAATTTCATTAAAATCCGTTCAACCGTTCTCGAGATACCTTCAAACAAATATCCATCTACACTTTCGCATTTATAATATTAGTATGAAGCAGATTCATATATTTAATTATACATGTTTATATAAGGAAAGACGATAAAAAAATATGTTTAAAATATATGTTGCCAAATTACGCAAAGCTGGTGTTGGCAAAGCTACCTAAGTGTTTGTACTACAAGCGGTTTTATACAAATTGTTTAATAACCAAACGAATGCTAAATTTAATTATGCGAATCGAATTGAAGCATTTTTCGCTTTTTTATAACCTCTATAAAACATAGACAATTTGTATACAGACATCCGTCAAAATATCAGAACCTCTTCAAGGTAAATGACCATGATGTAAAAAATTATAAAACTTGTTCGCATATTTTATGTATAATTTAATTTGTATCATCGTTATTTAAATAAATACTTACGTGCATTAACATTATTAAAAATAACACTTAAACACAATATAGAGAAAATTATTTTTTTATATACCGCCATCTTATCACAGCACTTTACAATCGACCACATCGGAGGCCGGATGAAACATCACTGACCGCGCGACCGATTGACTTTGTTATTTATTTACCTCTAGAGACTAGATTCAATATAAGTTGAAGTTTTTATTTTTAAATTTACATTGGATGTTTAGAACATGTTTTTGACGCCTATTTTGATGGTTTTTATGTAGGGTCTGTAAAACAGGTTTTTGTATACCAAATCTATCTATCACTTCACTCGTGTTGTCCCTTTTTAGCCGACTTCTAAAAGTAGGAGGTTATCAATTTGTCTGTTTTTTTACGTCGGCTTCGACCTAGGTACAAACTTTAACCTAAATAGGTCTAAGGTAAGATATAAAAAGTCACTAATTTACCTCGGTCGATACCGACTCCGAAATAAAAATAAATGTAAAATATAGAAGTAGAGAATTTTTTTACTTTTGAGGGATGTCATGAACAATAACGTTATTTTGTTACTATTTAGTGAATTTTGTTTTAGTTTTTTTTTGGGATTTTTTTATGAAAGCGTCTTTCTTTTTTTAATTTGTTTCATGCCGGAATAAAGGCATGAAACGCATGTCATGTCTTTATGCTGGTGTCTCGGCTATCTTTTTAAAAAAAGTTTTAAGTGAGGCAAGTCTAGGATGGTATTTTTTTTCGCAGGTAAATAAGTACAGATAAATAATTGATAAACACTGACTTCTATTTTTGTTTTTTTTTTAGAGATGTTAGGTAAAAGAGTATTAAAATAAATTCCATATTTTATTGCACGTATCCTTTTCAAAACCAGTTACTATGAAACTAGTTTTTATATCCATTGTAGTTTTTTTTCCACAAATCAAGTGATGAGCAATCTGGTTTTGAGATTATTCTATTGTATCCGCATAAACTGCGTTTCCATTGCCGAAACATCTGTACAAAACCTATTGTAATATTTGTGTTGTAACTTACCTTTAACCGAACTTAACTGTATGATTTCTTTTTTACGTACGTCCATAACGTCTTGAGCCATCTCCTGGCAGTTCACAGCTTGTAGCTCCCGCAGATTCAGCCCTACGGCGTCTCGCCAGCGGTACCTGGGCCGACCGATGGGTCGGATAGTACATACTAGAGTAGGAAATTATTCTGGTGAGACCAAAGAGTGTCTCCATAAGCGAGTTATTTTCTGGTCTCGACATATGACGAGAAAAATATCGTTGTCCTTAGGACTCTCGCTTATACTGTTTAAATTTTTTTTCTTTACACTTTTTAATATTTTTGTTTCTAAAATATTTTTAATTCATCTCAAGTATAAGGAAGAAAATAAACATACTTAGCACAAGTAACAAAATTTACATTGTTTAATCCTAAGTAGGAAATGCGTGTTACTACTTCCCAAGCATCAGTACAAAAAGTTCTTAAAAATCCTTTAGGAGCGAGCGTTTTATAAAAGGCCGGCAGCGTATCTAAATTTTTGGTGGTGCCGATCTACCACGGTCCACGGTCCTTAGTTACCATCTCACTAAATATTCCAATGCTCGTTTGCACACTATTCGTATAAATTACAAATAAAAACAAATTACCTATATTCTAATTCTATGATTAACACAAAATGAAAACACACCTTTATAGCCGTACTTATATTTATGTAGAATTAAAGCATTTTAGTCGGAACAGTCATAAATTCGTATACTCCAAGCATTTGGAAACTAAAACTTATTTATTTGTTCCCATATCCATGGTAAATAATTGTAGACATGAGTATACACGCTAGGTATGTCAAGTCCGCATGGTGTAGGTCCGAAACTAACAACTGCTGCTACTTCATACAATTCCCCGTTTTTGTACATCAGAGGTCCACCAGAGTCACCCTTGCAGGCATCTTTTCCCGGCTCACCACCGGCACACATTTGATTCCGTGTTAATGTTTTATTAGTTCTCCTCCTATAAATTTCTTGACAGTTCTGTAACATACAAAATATATTTATCAACTACCTGTCGCCCGCGACTCAGTCGGCGCTGAAATTTAAAAAAAAACTGAGTAAGTATTCTATGTGTTCTTCCAGATATGTTCTACATGTGCGCCGAATTTCATTAAAATCCATTCAGCTGTTCCGGAAATACCTTCAAACAAACATCCATCCATCTAAACTAATATTAGTGTGATGTATGATATACAGGTTAGACCAGAACAATTTATAGAAATCTTAAAATTAATCTCCATACCATAAAAAATTTACAGTTTTGAAAATATTAGTAGTCATTGGATAACATAATAAATTAAAAATAAAATAAGGTTCAACAAAAAATCCCCTATTTTGGAGTATGACTTATCTAATTAAAAGTCTAGAATTAAATTTAAAAGTAATAGACATTACTAACATCAAACCGCCTGTAAGGTAAATCCACTTCATGTTTGATAGAATTCAAAATTTGCAAAGTTCCTGTCATCCCCCATCCAGACGCAAAAAGTCTTAAACCTTCTTGTGCGTTCACCGATAAATCCAAAGTAGGCAAGCAAATTGGGCGAATAAAATCTGAAAGCCAATATATAAATAAAGCACTACAAACCTCTCCTAATACCCCATCATTGAAAATGTTCTTAGGTAAATATTCTCGACTCGACTTGTCGAAAGTTTCTCAGAGTTCTGCACTCCTTAGTAATCTTTTATAAACTTAGCTATTACAAGTTAAAATTCTCTTAAAGGCTAGCGATGTATCTGGTGTCGTGGATGTCTATTGATCGATGACCACATTGTTAGTCCCGTGGCTCCTTTTCCCCTACGAGTATTGTGTAGACAAAACCAAATTAAATATTCTAGTTCTTACCAGTGTATGGAGCCATCGTACTAAGTTTAATCAAAGCAATATCGTTATGTTTGTTGACATCATTTGGATTGTACTGCTCGTGTACAATGATTTTCTCAATCGGTATAACGAGTGCACCATCGGTACAGTCCTCTCCACCACCAGGAGTTATCACGCAATCAGGACCAGTATTCAAAAGGTTGTATTCTCCAAGTCGCACGTTTACACTGCCAATATATATTTTGTTATAAAATCTATCTCCAGCTATCGATTCAAATCAAAAATAAAAGGCGTAACGGAATAATGTTTAAATTCAAGCTGAAGGTAATTCATACTTCACAGGACTTGCATGTTTAGTATAACTTACGGACTTCGACCACCAATATCGCTTCCAACCAAACAGTGTCCCGCCGTCAGCACGTATCGTCCACTTATCAGTGACCCTCCACATCCCACCTCAATCTGATTCGACCCTATCATCTTGTACTCTATTAGTACCAGCCATGGGTATTCGTCTATTGCAGTTGCAGTTCCTCCTGTAAATAAAATTAATGTATACAGTTTCTCAATCACAATGCCTCCACAACTCCGGTATAAAAAATTAAGAAAAATCATTGTCAGACTGCTAATCCGACTTCTCTAGCGATAATGTTTGGTTTGTTGGCGATGATCATTTAATATCAGAAGATTTCTTAGTTTCTTCACGAATTATTATTTGTTGTCAATTCTAACATACCAACAATTCTATCGCCATTGGTGGCTTGTACTCCGCAGCAGTAGCTCTGTGGGTCGGGCGGGGTAGTAGACATAGTGCAAGTTGTATACGGTGCATCATTATACTCCTCGTAAAAGTTTATGCTGGGTTGTTCTTTGGATATATGATTGCCACAACACACACTGTGTCTTTTTACATTTTCGCACCTTAAAGCAACGACACAATTTATTATTAAAAATATCTCAGTGCTCATATAGTCTTATATTCTTAATCGTTCAAGACATTGCAATGTTTATGGTGTATGATCTAGTTTTTAAATTACTTTAAGGGTTAGTAGATAGTGATATTAATTAATTTAGTTTTATCATTGTACTATTTTAATTCTCGGACACAAATCGGAATAAGTGAGATTGATTTCTGAAGTGATATTCCTAAATTTCTGTAGCATTACTTTGTTGAAAAATAAAATATCAATACCTGGACATCTCTATGGTTTCCATAATTCTAGTATTCATCAATTGATCCAGCTTGTCATTAAATGTGGGGCATGTTTGTAGATTCGTACATAATCCAATACTACCGTCATATGTTTTACATATGTTGGGGTCTACAATGTCCAATGTTAAAGGTTCATATGGACAACAGACCTGTAATATTGTAATTGTTCCTGTACCATTTTACTTTTATAACTTTGTATAAGTGCGAGTCTGATTCATTTTGTAATAGTAATTAAATTTTTACTCATTCTGTCTGATTTTGTGTTGATATATTCCTCTTCTCCTATGCCAAACATGTCTATAGCGAAATATTTATGCTTTAATTTTTGCTCAGAAGTAGCTATTTGCACTATAGAAAAATGTGTTGTTCTGAATTATGGTCCAATCTACGCCGGATTTTGAGATAACGGGACTTTCGATTATTCAAACACTTAGAATAATTTGGAGAATTTCGCTTATAAGCGACTTAGAATATTTTACTGATTACGAGACATTGTTTTTATCATTTCTCTTCAAAAAATCAGCAAATCTGTACAGAATTATGTTACGTACCATGTCCTTATGAGGGTATTCAGTTTCATAACAGTCGGAGTATCTGAGGAGCAAATAATCGCGAATAGTTAGTTGCTGGAATGGTTTCCTCAGCAGATTTTTGAGAGAGTGGCAAGCGTTTAACTTTAGGCATCTGCCTTTTAAACCATCTGGCGTTGTACATTTAACTGGAAAATAGAAATTACGTACGGTTTGATATAAGAAAAAATCCGTTCCAGATTTCTAGAATTCCTTGATTATATTCTAGAATATCATGTAAATTGTGAAGTTTGTTCCTCTCTTTTATGTCATGTGTTGATTATTCTTTCATTAATACAAATACTTACTTTTTGCTTCCACGTAAATACTGATTCCCAAAAAAAATATTGGTAATAGTAACGATTTCATGGTTCACTTCACACTACTTCAAAACCACAACCGTCCTCCAGTACAGTCGGTGTACTACTGATATTGATGGATTGATGTTAACAAATACTTTATTGGTTATTTAATTTGTAGTAGTCATCATCATTAAACACTTTAATACTAATAGTATAATGTAGTACAATTAAATTGTGTTCACTTCCAATGGACTCCGTGAAGTCCATCCCTCTTGTAGGAATTAAAGCATGTAGGATATGTACATGACCATGATTCCAGAAATCTAAATCTGAGCCATTTTCATTAAGGTCGGCTTTTATCTTGATTTCATTTGTTAAATTGATACTTTTAAATCGTCACATTAAATAGGCATCAAATGGTGACGTATATCTATTAATCGGAGGTGCAATTGTATAACAATTAAGATAGTTATTGGAATATTGTTTAGTAATCGATGGGTTAATCTTCAATAAAATATTTTTAGAAATCGATTAAATATATTCAGATCCCTAAAGCATTAGGTAAGGAGTAGGCATGTTGCATTTGCCAGTTAAAATTATAGAATGAATAAAAAAAACAACATACATCTAAAATGTATTCATAATTATTACAGACACAACTCACTATGATAAATACATAATATATTGCAGTAGACTACGTTTATCAAGATTTTATTTGGCTTCGTATCCATGGTAAGTATTCGTAAACTTTAGTATACACTCCAGGAATATTTTGCTGTCCGCACGGCGTCGGCCCGAAGCTAACGACTCCGATCACTTCGTATGCCCGTCCGTTCTGATACATCAGTGGTCCTCCAGAATCTCCCTTGCATGAGTCCTTGCCCTTCTCACCTCCAGCGCACAGTTGACCCTTCCATAGGGGAATATTGAACCGTTTCTTGTATACCGCCTCACATTCCTGTAATAAAATAGAATACACAACACTTAAACGTATCATGAATTTGATTAGATGCGCCTTTGTTTTAACTCTCTTAGAATGGTTTGGCTTTAATTTTATATTGATCTATCTCAAAAGCAAGTTTTGAAAAGTTAAATACAGACTAAATAGAGAAATTATCTATAATCCCATCTGTCGCGACCCTGGATTTCGGTCCCGAAAATATTCTATATTGAGTATCTTTAAGATCCAAATCAAGTCAAATAGGCTCGCCTAGGAAGTCTCTTATCAATTCTAATATAAGCTTTTTTTACATGGCCTTGCAAATCTGTCAGTTAAAATAAGTATACACAATATTTACATTGGCTGATACTAGTGGAAGATCAACGAAAAGTTTTGTATTACTGCTACTGGTCTGCGTATCCACAGCGCCCCAACCAGCCGTCTCCAGCCTAGAGTTTATTGCAGGCTGTGAAGTCATGTCCGTATTCGGTAGGCAGATTGGACGAATGAAATCTATAAAGAAAAAGTGTTTATTAGTACTAAATGAAGTTAATTGCGTATTTTCTATAGATGTAGCGACCCGCTTGTAATATTAACAATTGAGGAGCCTGTAACTTGGGTAATTGAGTTACAAAAGGTAAATGTTAACCAGTGTACGGCGCCATCTCTCTTAGCCTGATGAGCGCGATGTCGTTCCTCCGTAAATTGTTATAAGGGTTATACTGCGGATGAGGGATGGTCCTCTCTATCGGCAGTATCAGAGCTCCGGGCGTACAGTCTCTTCCACCTCCCGCAGCCTCCACGCAGTCAGGACCGGAATTATTGATATCGTACTCGCCGAGACGGACATTGACACTAGAAAAAAACATCAAATTTCACTCCCTGAGTGTGACTATAAAAGATTTAAGTCATTCTCTCATTTTTGAACATCGTGATCAGCATTTGTCGGGTTGAATCTGGAACGGATGATGTTCCTTCAACGCTTAAATAAAAAAGTCAAAGGATAAAAGAGTTGCTAAGAAATGAAAATAGTGTTAGGGACTATAGAAAGTAACTCATGATATGATTCACAAAATTATTAATACTTATCTCTATTTTATTTATATTCCTTGAAATGACAGTATTTCGTCATTCCAATCAGCCCATAGGCTCTACCTTCTATTGCTACTTCTACAACTATTGGTCACTATTACGAATCGTCGATACAAAGCAAATGTTATAAGAACATTTGAGATTTATACTTTCTTAATGAATGTTTGAAATATGCATCTAGATCTAAAAATACTGGTTTCAATCAAAAGTAACTCACGGTGACCCATTGTCGAGTACTTGACCAGCGACGCAGTGACCTGCGGTTAGCACGTATCTGCCACTTATTAGCGCTCCGCCGCAAAGTAGCTTTATTTGATTCCCTTTCTTGTATTCGATGATCACCAACCATGGGTACTGATCTATGCCAGTTTCACTGCCACCTTAAGTTTTGATATATCTTAATACATTAGTTCTACTTATAATCATCTTGACAAACAGGAGAGTGATATTTTTTACGTATTTTTGTAATAAGCATTTATGCATGTCCATTGTGACGTCTTATAGCATAGATGGCTAATCCATTTTTAAATTTAAAATAATTGGTTTTCTTCTCTTTAAATCTTACGGATACAGTTAGTGTATTTTTAGTACTTATGTTACCATAAATTTTGTTGCTCTCTCCCTCGATGCCGCAGCATCCTGTTCTCGGGTCTGGGGGGTAAGCTGTCGCGGTGCAGACCGCTGAGGTGGTCACAGTTGATTCCACCGCAGTAGACTGCGCGCAGCATACGCTCTGAGGTTGAGGACCGTTACATCTGATGATAAAATACGAAAGGCAAAACTTATAAATACTATTTTTAAACTCCAAGAAATCCCAAATTATTAAAGCTAGTTACGAAAGAACTGTATACTCTTAGGAGTATAATTTGAACTGGCGTGAGAGCATATGTAGGAGCTAAGGTTCTTACCTAGAATTTCTTATGAATGTAACAATACCAATGGTTGGGGGTTGTTGCAGCCACCTGCTGAGTTGAGGGCAGGAGTGCACGTTGATACATCTGCCCTCCTTGCCATTAGGGGTGAAGCATCTGATATTGTTCGGTTTTGGTGGAGGGGTAGTTTGCGGACAACATACCTGTTCATAGTTAATTCATTTAGTAATCGAAATATTAAAAAGACGATACTCATTATGTTAAGTGAAACTGATATGATTTAGTTTGTTTTAAACTAAGTTAAAATCTTGGAATTTTTTTGTTTTTTTTTATTGGCTATTAATTTGTCTTTATTTGTAGCTTGTAGCGTTCTGACCTTTGGCATGTCTCCATTGAAGCCACAATGCGATTGCCTTAAGATTTCGTAGTCGGCATTAGTTCTTCGCGGCTTGTTCAGTATGGCCACCAGAGGAGGACACTGGTCAACATCTATGCACCGTCCCCCAACACTCGATGGTGTCCGGCATGCCAGTTCTATGAATTATTTTTAATAACTCGTACTTTTATACATTGTTAGTTAGAATCCTTGGCGCGAATGGCGCGATTTCATTACAATTTCAAGTGTTGAATGATTAGTGAGGAGACATAAACGTCGACATTTTAGTAAAGCTAGTGTTGCTCCAGTACACCGGCACAGTGTCGGATTTTCTTCTAATAGTACAATCCAAAATACTTCTGATAAAACACTTTTTCTCCCATAAAAATATAACATTACATTAACTCTATTTTGCAACATCATTCTACTTTCAAGTCAAATATCAATATGGCCGCTCTGTATGGAATTTAACGTGTCTCTTTTTACATAATTTAAGCTTTTAATTGACACGAAGAATAGAAGAAAGTAGTCTTTGCTTTAGAAGGTATAGCTGTCGTCTTGCGGAAAAAAAAACTTGTAGCCTATATGTTCTTCCAGGCTATCTTCTACACCCATCCAAAAATTTGCTTTCATAATATTAGTATAATTTAAGTCTAGTGGTTGATATAGTTCCCAATATCCATAATTTCAGTTGTTTTAATTATTTGGAAAGAGCCTAAACATTTTCCTACCCTATTTTCACAGGGTTTTATAATCGAATTTATCAAATACTAGCTGTGGCACGCGACTCCGTCCGTGCGGAATTAAAAAAAAACTTAATTAGTAACCTATGTGTTCTTCCAGACTACGTTCTATATCTATGCTAAATTTCAGCTGAATCCCTTCTGGAGATACCTCTAAACAAACATCCATCCAAAATATTCGTGTTTATAATATTAGTAAGAAGTAAGATATGTAACTCACGTCCGCCGACAAGGCAAAATATATAGTTGGTCACCAGAAAAGATAAAATTAAAACCAAAGACATTTCCACTATTTCTTGGAACAGATGAAACACGTCCTAACCCGACGATGGTTATTGTAATACTGACATGTGATGGATTATGAATTTAACAATTAGGTTGCGTCGTAATTTTACTCAGTCATTAATTAATGAAATATTCCATTAGATTGTGTATTTCTTTATTATTAAAAAAGCAATAACATAGATCATAGAATATGTAGATATAAAGAAAATGTACGTAATGAAAAATTGGTCTGAATAGAGGTAGAGAAAAAAAAACTTTTACTATATATCTTTGGGTTATACTTTGGAGAATACTGGACTGTGAAAAGTAATGCTAAAGCAGATTTCTTCTTTTCTTCTACTTTACACTGAAACCAATTTTGTTTACGGACTCTTTTTTTAACTGTTACGAATAAAATAAATGTTAAAAATTCCGAAAAAAATCGAAATATAATTTTATTTTTTGAAAATCTCAGAAAATTAAGATGTGAAACAAAAAGAAATTTAAGAAATATAGACTGAAGAAGAATGAATATTCATGGAATATTATTATATCTTAAATGACCTTCCAGGTCAGTGTAATCAGAGTCAGTGTCATGAGACATTCTTACGTCGTTTTTAAGATATCTTTCTTTTATTTTGTATTCGTCTATTTTTTTGTGTATCCATGGCAAGTAACTGAAGACTTTGGTGTATACGCTGGGATAGCCTTCCAGTCCGCAAGAGTTACCGAAGCTGGTTATACCGACCACTTGATAAATTAATGTGAGGTTTCTTGATAGGTACATTAATGGGCCACCAGAGTCTCCATTACAGCTGTCTTCACCACGCTGTCCACCAGCGCATATTTGTTTGTTCGTTAAATTGCCTAACTTCATCATACATTTCTGTAACAAAAACAGCAAAATTTGCTAAAAAGTAATGCTTTTTTAAACGACTTCTAAACACAAGGGTAGGGAATATATTTATGTCTTGTAAGATTTTGTTTATCCGACGTTCTTATTAAAGGAAAACATCGTGATGTCCTGCACTTATCTGCAACGTAATTCGAAAATGTGTGTAGTCAAGAAATCCACACTGGGCCACCGTGTATATATATATATATATATATAAGGATAATATACGATATAAAGAACTATATCTAGGCTTCAGTATGTGTAACTGAAGCAAAACATATCATAATCACTAATTCATTTTCTCTTTGCCACAACCTTCCACTTCAACAGCTCGATACCGAATGTCCAACCGACCTCCTTCTACCTGCCAGCTCTCGATAATTTTCCGTCCCTCTCCCTGACAGCTCAAAGTGTTGCCCGTACAATTAGCGAACCCTAACAGAAAGATATTGTAATCATTCTCATAGAAGACTGTCTCGTCTCACCTTTAGAGGCACGAAGGGTAAGGTCACTTGTCTCTTTACGTCGGTGAGTACACTTTCATCATTCATCCGCCCCCAACCGGCTGTTTTAAATTTTGTACTTTCATCGAACTCTCGACTTTCATCTGTCTCTGGTAAACAAATGGGTTTAATGAACTCTGAAAAATAATTGCTATATTAGTATTATATATATATATATATATATTATTTGGTACAGTTGGTATATAGTTGGTACCATTATAAATCTATAATATTGAGATAATGATGACAAATAAAAGGCCAGTATATCTGTAAAAATAAGTAACTCAAAAGGTGTTTTGCATTGAACTGGATAATATTGGCTTGCTAATATGGTTGTATATCTACATCATCAGCTCACTATACGTCCCCACTGAGGGGCTCGGAGCCTACACAACACATTGGTACATGGCGGGATTCGAACCCAGGACCTGCAGATTGCAAGTTAAGTACTTGAACCCTGAGCCACCGACAGTCGTTATTTAATATTATATGTCAATAATTTTTAACGCCTTTGATTTTTGTAGTACCTGTGAAAATAACCATTTCGCTCAAAGCGATTAGCGCGATGTCGCTTGAGTTTCTCTCCTTTGTAAATTGTTCCGGCATATAAATCTCTTCAATTGGCACTTTCAACACGCCTTTATTACATATTTTTCTGCCACCATCCACAAGCTTACAATCGGGACCATCAGTTTTAATATTGTGCTTACCCAGCCGGATGTATTTTCTTAAGACATAAATTACAACATTCCAGTTAAATCGTATCTTACCTTTTACTAATATCTTACCAATATTATAAAAGGGTTTAGATGGATGGATGTTTGTTTGAAGGTATCTCCGGAACCTTTGAACAGATCTCGATGAAATTTGGCATAGCTGTAGAACATTGTCTGGAAGAACACATAGGCTACTACAGTTTTTTTTGAATATCGCGCGGACTGAGTCGCTAGCAACAGCTTGTAATATTAACAAAAGTATTCATCCTCAACGTCTTTTTCCCAGACGTGTAGATAAAGCTAAACATGGAAAGATCGGAGATTGTCATTGTCTTTCTAATCTTGTTTCTTCTTGCTAGGATTCATGAATACTTATTACCAAATATCTCTATAATAGCATTCATGTCTGGATTTGCGAATAGGTTAGATCAATAGTTAGTTTTTATCTAGACAGAGTCACAGGTGATAGCTAGAAACTACTTAACTTACGGTCTATTTGTGTATACGCAGTGAGCCGCTGTTAGCGCAAATTTTCCGCTAATCAGAGACACTCCACAATCTAGGGTATTATTATCGTAATCCAAAATTCCCAACCACGGGTACTGATTAATTTTGGTTTCTGTGCCACCTGTATAGTTAATTACAAATCATAAACGTCAATCGGTAAAATAGATTGAAATTATTAACATTGTTTGATACTTAGGGGTTAGTCGTGCTTATGTTGTAAGTCCTCCTTTGATGCAAGTAATTCAATTAATTTAAAAATAAAAAGTTATTAATTATCATAATAGTTTACGGTAAAGAGGATATGCGTAAGAAGAGGGTAGAGTCGGATATGACGGCTGATAGAGATGTATGGAGGAGTAGTACATACTGTGCCGACCCTCGATAGGGATAAGGGCAGGTTGATGATGATGATGAGTTTACGGTTGATGGTGTGATATTAGATTTAAAATGTATACAATTGGATGAATAACAGATATCATAACCTACCCATAATTCTATCTTCGTAGTTGACCTGTCCACAGCAGCCACTTTTCAACCGAAATGGCTCGATGGATGGGGCGCATTTCTGGATTTCATCGTAATACAGTTCAGTTGCTTCATCTGTCGTCTGAGTTGTGTCGTCAAAAGTATTTGTTGTTAGAGCACAACAAATATTTAGTGAATCTGCCGCATTGCAACTGTAATAAACTTACTAATATTATAAATGCGAATGATTAGATGGATGGATGTTTGAAGGGATCACCAGAACGGCTAAATAGATCTCGATGAAATTTGGCATACATATAGAACATAATCGGGAAGAAAACATAGGCTACCCATTCATTTTTGATTCCGCGCAGACGGATTTAAGGGCGACAGCTAGTATAAATATATTTTGTAAAAATTCACTCGTTTTTTGTCTCAAAAAAAGCTTCAATTATATTTACCTGAGATTTCGTATCATGGCATTTATAATGGTAGTGTCGTTTATTTTACTTATTTGTGTAGCGAAGTTTGTGCAAGTGTCAAATTTAATACATTCCCCTGGTTGATCGTCAGGCGTGATGCAATCGTTGTCGTCAAACTCATGCTCTGTGTCGCAACATACCTTTAATTGTATTTAATAATTGTGTTTAATTTTGTATAAAAACACATAATTTGTTTCCACCAGTAATATGTACATTCATGATGTATTTAATTGTAAAAAAATAATCTTATCACCTTTTTTTGACCGTTTATTCTGCAAGGTGCTGAAAATTCATCTAACTCTGTTTCATTGTACCGATTAGGATTTTTCTTGAAACTTTCGCAATCATCAGGAAACACACAGTCTCCTATAACACCGTTTTTTAATGTGCAGCTAAATACTGAAAAATAAAAAACAAATCAAATTTTTAGACATTATTAGCTAGAATCATTTAGCGCGAATAACGCTCTTTCGTTACCAAAACAAGTGTCAGATTTATTAGTTGCGCCGATACACCGGAGCAGTGTAGAATTTTCTTTTTAACTCTTCTTACTAATATAGTAAATGCGAATGTTTGGATGGTTTAGAAGGTCTAAAACCTCTGCACGATACTCGCTGAAATTTGGCATAATTTAGAACATAGTCTGGAAGAATATGTAGGCTATCATTTTTTTTTACCCCGCGGAGTCGCGGTGTCTAGTAAGTAATAAATAAGTAATTCATGTCTAAGTTTTCTTCCATATTCCATGAGTTGTACTTACCTCTATCATCTTTTTCTTCAATTTCATTTTTTCCTTCAATTTCGTCGTTTCCTTCAATTTCATCTATTCTCTTAGTTTCAATGTCGATGCAACATATCTGGGAATAAATGTTAATCTTAATTTAGTTATGTCTATCGTTTTAGACATTTATTAATTAGTATCCTTTGGCGCGAATGACGTGCATTCGTTACAAAGTCCAGGGTCAGAATGAATAGTCAGTCAGAATAGTAACACAAACGTCGACATTTTAGTAAGACTAGTTGGGTCAATACACTGACATATTTTCGGATTTTATTTCTAACAATTGAGATATAGATATTTCAACCAAATTCTATAGTGGTTCGCTACCGTTCGGGCAAATCCCTCTAGAATTTGCTACACGGACTATATATGTTAAATCGCCTTTTAAGTACATTTTTTTTTCAAATTGTCTCTCAAAATATTGTACTTACAATAGCAACCAAAATCGCCTTTTTTATTTTATCCCATCATCTACCTCAAATTTCTGAAGTATATTTCAAATTATTATCAAAGTCTGATTTGAAGTCATGTTTTTTCTTAAAACAGTCCTTCAAATATAATACATTTTATCTTAACACGTCAACCCTTTTATACCTACAAATTATGGGTATTGATGCATTATGCGTAGGTTTGCGAATTGCGATTTTGACCAATAAGTAATGAAGTGTTTATACCGAGAGTCGCTTTACGTTGGTAATATTATCAATCAAAGGCGTCAAAAGGTTAAAA